GCTTCTATTTACCCAGAAGAAATTGCTCTGTCTGATAAGCTGAAAGACAGGATGAAAGCAAGCACGTGAAATCCGAAAATGTCGTTAACTCACTTTTTTTAATATGAAGGAACAGATAAACGCGACATGACTCTGTTGTACCGCCAAATACGAGTTTGATGGGATTAGCTTATCGTAACTGACAGAAGTAGCAAGAAAAACTTGGCTAGCTTGGTTCATTTGAAAACTAAGAGAACCTTTTCAGGTCTCACTAAGATCATAATTCACATTTGAAATTGATCAACTGTAAGAATATGAACATAAAAAAAATAATAAATCAAGACATTTTATGCAACACTTTATTTCCTTGAAGCAGCGGTGTCAAAGTTGTGGGGCCATATCGCGCTAATGATTTCCTTGGGAAGGCCTTTATGACTGTGAACACAAGTAAATGTCTGATTTCCTCATATTACATATACACAACAAACTGATGAATAACTAGCTTTGAAATTTGAGCCCAGTTGAAAACTGTTTGTTCAAATATTACATTTACTTTAAAAGGGGATTGTCACGAAAATGCTTGCAGTTTCTGGACATTTGATATTTTAGCAAGAAACATGAAATCGAGGTGTATAATTTGCATTCGTTGGCCACATAAAAAAATTGTCAGGCCAGAAATGGCCCCCGGGCCTTAAGTTTGACACCTACCATCGCTAATCAAACCAACGGATGACTTTTTGTCAAAACCTATGATGCTCATATTCAATTTATTTGATCCTATTTCTTAAATGAAAATGCTGTTTTCCCATCTTGAAGGAAATGTCAATATGCGTAAAATATGCTTGACTTATCAACAACATAGCAGGGCCACTCGCTCACCACCTGAACATCCTTTTTGAAGCGTACATCGAGACAACAAACCAGTGCAGTATCACTTAGCTACGCTCCACATGGATTTGTCGCGTCAAAAACGAAGGAGAGAAAAAAATAAATGGATGGAGAGGAAGAGGACAGGAGTCTTAAGAGAGGCTAATGGGGGTCAGAATTCCAAGTGTCATTTGATAGGCCCACCTGCATTGAGGGCAAAGTGAATATACCTGAGTACCCAGAAGAAAAAAAAATATGAATTATTGGTAATTCTAAAGCTATTGTGCACTGTAGTGTTGTGTATGGCTCTGAAGCCACCTTAATTATATTCATCTGATGTGATTAACATGAGCTTATGTTGTACCGGTTTAGTACATCGCAACATTGTCGTTAGTGATGGACATAGATCAAACCATTGACCTTTCAGTCATTTTAAGAACCCAAACTCAAAAGATGTTTGAACCGGAGAGAGAAGCTGACTGACGTGTGCCTCTCAAATTACATTTTCTTTCAGTTACAAGCTTTTGATTGTCCCCCCCCCCCGCCCCTTTGTATTTACTAGTCAAAAATGGAGTCATAAGTGAGCTTCAAACACTCCGCAGGTGGAGTGAAGTGGAAGAAAAAAAAAATCACAGAAGCACTTTCAGCTGTTTATTGAACCCGATTTTACAGTCAAACGAAAAAAATACCAAATGAAAGCACTCATAAGGAGCATGGAGCAGATGCTAATTGGGTGACTGCAGCTCCTGACATCACTCACTAGGCCACGCCCCCTTCAAACCTCCCATCAGCATAACAACACTTTATAAAACCAGTTCTTTTCTTTACAATGTCATGTATTCCATTTTCATAATTATATTTTACAAGTTATTTTTCTTCATGGAATACATTCAATTCTTAAGCCTAGACACTACCGTACTTTGTAAAGTTTGATCAAAACCTTGAAGGCTAGAGGAAGTTAAAGGAAGAGGAAGCCTTTTTTTTTTTTTTTTTTTGGTATGGTTTTGTTTTGTTTGGAATTGACTAGAGGAAGTTAAAGGAAGAGGAAGCCTTTTTTTTGGGGTATGGTTTTGTTTTGTTTGGATTTGATTTGAAGAAAGCAGACGGAAGTACTTGACGGAGAGTGGGCGCTGGGGAGGTGCTGTGAAAAGAGGAAAAGTGGAGGGAGGGGAAGATGTCGGGAAAAGGTGGGGCGTGTAAAGGGGAAGGGTAGAGTGATAAGACCTTCGAAATTTGAAGAAACTACGACCTCAAATGAAGAGACACATAGAGGAGGGATGGGTGGAGGTCTATTGGCAGGAAGTTTCTGCGTAAGCATTGGCTTGAGGAGATGGAAATCTGGTGTGGTGGTTTTTTTATTTATTTTTTTTGGTTTTGTTTTTGTTGTTGTGGTTTCGCAGCCACCCTTCGCCTGGCCTTTTCACAACATGAGGTTTCTGGCTCTTTATAAAAGGCAGAACAAAAGGTGAATCAAGGGTGACACGGGTAAATCCCGACCCGAGTATAGCCCGATTCACGCTGCAGGGTACATACTGGATAGCTGTAGTCATAACAACGAGAAATTTGAAACACCTTGAATTGTATCCATGTGGCTTCCTTCCAGGCTCGGCTGAGGGAGGAGAAAGGCTTTCCTCTTGGAAGGAGCAGCTTGTATTGCCGCGGTTCCCAACTATTCCACCGATTTATATAGAGTGGATTGACTATGACCAAACATGAATGTATGATTTTTGTTTTGATTTTGTTTTTTTTTTTTTTTTTAAGGGGGGTTGGGGGGATGTCAGGAATGTCAATTAGCCGGCGTGTGCCAAGGTGGCTAATTAAAGGGAAGGCAAAGGCGACGACAGAAAGAAATGTCAGCAGGAGAGATATTTAATGGCGGATCGTGTAATGATTAAAAACATAAACTAAATGGACGTCCCCCATCATCTTGGGCCAGATATGTTTTTAGAAACAAGGAGCAAGCTTGGGCATTTAATTTTACAAAAAGTGCCATGGAAGAAACTGTAACCGTGTGTGAAGGACCACACACTGTGGGAAAAAAAACCCAAAACGTGTCCTATGATTTTGGGTCTAATAAAATAATTTAAGTTGGAATAACTTTCAAACATAAATTAGTAAAATATATGGCAATAATAATGTTAGTATCGCATTGGATAGCAAGTGAGTTGTTTGCTCCGAAAAAAATTGCTGAGTTGTTTTTATTGACCGTATTTTCCGCAGTATAAGGCACTTGCGAGTATAAGGCGCACCCTCAATGAATGGCCTATTTTAAAACTGTTTTCGTGTATAGATTGCACCACATTATATGGCGCATAGAATAGAAGCTACAATAGCTGCTGCATTTGCGTTTCACAGCCACTAGATGGAGCTACGCTGAAGGGAATACAATACAATACAATGCAGCTTTATTCGGCATTGACACGTTTTGTACAAACACTGAAAACAACAAATGTTTGCGCTTCAGGAGTGCATATAACAATTTTGTTCTTGCTCTCAAAGGCGCACCAGGGGTTGTTGCCTGTTCCACATTTTTTTTCACAACCTACCAACTTCACTGGATGAACTTAGATTTACAGTCAGGAACGGTTTCTGATATGCGGTCACCACCAAGCACTCGTCCATGATTCTGCCTTGGAAGAAAACATTTTTGGCAAAATGCTTGCAAAAAGTCTAGCAGCTATGTTGGCTTTTTACAAAAAAAAGAAAAATAATCAATTGCCTGTTAATGCATTCAGCGGGGGGAGCTCTGTTGGATTATAGATGCAAGACGCTGGAGCATGCCACATTTTACCCCAGAAAATGGCTTTCATATGCTCCTGCAGAGTCATAAATAGATTTCAAGATTTTTTTGGACTGTTCACATACTCGTAAAAAAAAATATAAATAAATAAAATAGACCTGATCCAGTGAGAGAGGCGAAAAAGAGACGCAGGCTCCAATGCCTAAAGTTATATGGTCAGAATTTGGATTCAGGCACGGAAAGAGAAAAGCGCCAAGGATTCACAACATGGAACAAGAACAGAGGTGAATTTCTCTGTGGAGATAGAAGGCCATCAATTCTCAGACTGAGTCATGAACGGACAGTTATTTGACAGTCACACCCGGATCTGGTTCTGGATTTAGCTCGTTATCTGCCCCTCTGCCTTCCTGTTGATTCCTGCTGTTACTGTACAAGCAACAAGTGACATGGCTTCATGCTTGTGTGCAGCCCAAGCACCAGATTCAGGGCCTGTGAGACTTCCTTTGTGTGCATAAGTCGATACACACAAGCCCTTGCCCTTTTCCTGTGTCCAAATAAACAGTCCAAAACAGCCGCATGATGAAGGAGCTGCCTCGTGTTTTTTTTTTTACCCCGCCTCGTGTGTTGCATCCGTTACGTAAGCATGCCTGTGCCGCTACCTTCTTCATTAAGACAGCTATCCAAAGCTCCTGCTTCCTTTGGTCACAGTTCGTTGACGTGAAGATGAACAACAGACCAGTGGATCACATGCCAGACAGCCTCAATGTTCCTCTCGCAACATGATAGGCTTGACATGAAAACGGGACGAAAAAGTTATTTTTATATTTTGTTGATGAGAAAACATTGACATTTGTCTGTTGTTGCAGAGTACAGCTAGTCTCTAAAAAAAAAAAACCCAAAAAACCAAAAACAAAAAGAAAACTTCTTTGCTATTTTTATGTGCTAAGATGCCACAAGATGGCGCCAAAGAGCTGGCTAATAATTCTAACGTACTAATAGATCCCAAGGACGGATGATACATCTCAACTGACAGCCTAAAGTTTAGCCTGGGTTGTTAGCAGAATTTACGGAGAGCCTTTGTTGCAAATGTATGTTTTCGCAATAGCTATTAAAATAGCTGAATCATCCTTAAGATTCGAAATAAATGTGTCAGCCATTTATTTCGAGCGTTTAAGGTGTAAGAAGAGTTTCAAATGAGTGATTTGGGATAATAGTTTGTGGTGTATTTACGGTGTAAAATATAAATAGAGGCAGTTATAAACATTTGGAGGACCATCAGTTGATGGTGTTTTAGCTACTGCGTATGGTTTACAGTATGGAGTTGAACACTTGAATATATTTAACAATCCAGATGTTCTTAAGCAAAATAACTATGTATCTGTGATTCACATGTGGCTTCCCTTGTGTGTTTTAGGTAACCACAGCATGTATCCCAGCTCCTGCCAACGACCTGGTAAGTCTCTCTGATGTGCTTGCATTTGCTCTCAAAAGCATTCTGTACACAGAATCACTTGAACCCTCGTTGGAGCTGCTTTTTAGCTTGCAGCTATATTATGGCCGCTCCTCATGATGGCAACTGAGGAAGGGTCAAGCAAGTACAGTACTATCACAGGGGTAGGGGGGACACATACGACACAATGGGACGAGATTGGAGTAAACACTCCAGAATTCCCATTGCCTTAGTGCAGCCCGAACACATACTGGAAATGAATGAACCAAAATGAATTATGGCAAAGTTCCCTAAGACATGAATAGATAGTCGACACGAATGAACTGAACAGATGACGGTTATGGCAAGGAACTAATTTGGCCAGCCTCAGGTACTGACTACCAACACAACAAAACACAACGCCTTTTCCTGAAAACAACGAAGGCCTTTTGAACATCCATCCATCCATTTTCCGATCAGCTTTATCCTCACAAGGGTCGCGGGGGGTGCTGGAGCCTATCCCAGCTGTCTTTGAGCAGTATGCAGGGTACACCCTGAACTGGATGCCAGCCAATCGCAGGACACACAGAGACTTAGGAAAAATTTAGAGCATTCTATTAACCTGCCACGCCAAGTTTTTGGAATGTGGGAGGAAACCGGAGCACCCGGAGAAAACCCACGTAGGCCCGGGGATAATTTGCAAACTCCACACAGGAAGGCCATAGCCGGAATCGAACCCTACATCTCTGTTCTGTGAGGCTGACACGCGAACCAACCTCCACCATGCCGCCCCCTTTTAAACAGTGGCGCTTAATCTTTGCAGGTGGCGGCACACCTAAAGCGAGTTGCAAATTGGGGTCACTCTCCCCAATCAGCCACCAATCAGCAAAGAGCAGGGAAGATCTACTGCACACATGCAAAGATTATCCACCAAACAACCCCCCCCCCCCTAAAATAAACATCCGCAAAATATCGTGAAATCCATTATGTTTTTTTTTTCAAAACCACTGAATGGTTTTCTTCCCCAATTTGCTTCTGGGAAGGCGATCCCTCGGTCGGCACAGCTCTCTTCATTTCTCATGCACTGCAGGATTCCTGTCTTGAAGACCAATGTTGATGTTGGTGTAGGAAGTAGTCATGTTTATCCATTAGAGAATCTGTTTGTTTTATTAACTCTCCTTCCTTTCCTCTGCACCCGCCCCCCCTCGCTTCTCTGCCCTCCCTCCTCTTTCTCACCCCTTTCTTATTCTTCATGTTTTGTTTTCTTGCTCACCTTCCTTCCATATTGTGCCATTTTGCTTGCCATCTTTCCTCATTGGCTTCCAGCAGCGTAGAGGGACAGCTCCGCCTCGAAATGCCCAACACCTGGTAAGCATCTTCATGTCCTCTCACTGCTCTTTCGACCTTCTGCAGAGAGGGGCCACGTGGCAGGGATAGCTCAAGTGCGATCGAAACCCCCCCCAGGTGACCCGTCATTGTGTCAAGGGATAGATGAGGGAACGCTGTAAAATACATTACATTGAATGGCAAAACATTTACTTTTCCACTTTGCAATTTCCTCTGTTTCCCCCATTATCTTTAGTCTTGTGCCTGTCTTCAAAATGTCATCCACACACACACACACACACACACACACACACACACACACACACACACACACACACACACACACGAACACCGGTAGTAAATGTAACATGTTGTCTCTTGCATCATGGACCACACTTTGGAAAGGATCTTTTTTTTCTTAGTCAACAAAACAGTCAAAAATACATTGTGGATGAAATAAAATAAAATATCGATGTGGTATATTTTTCTTTTAAATTGTGTTCATGCCGAGCAAATTGAGCATTTAAGACACAGATGTCAAAGTCGAGGCCCGGGGGCCAGATCTGGTCCGCCACATCATTTTATGTGGCCTGCGAAGGCAAATCAAACATGGCAACTTCCATGATGCTTGCTAAAATATGTACCAAAATTTCAAATTTTCATATTAATAAATAAGAGAGACATTGGAAGCATTTTCTTGTTGCCAAACACCTCATTACAGTAACTTAAACAATAGTTGAATAAACTGTTATTCTTGACTTCTTTATATGATTTCAGTCATAATGGCCCTCCAAGGGAAATGGTAACTAAAATGTGGCCCGCGACGAAAATGGGTTTGACACCCCTGATTTAAGAACTCATTTTAACAGCACAAGACAGGATCACAGTTTCACAACAGATGTCAAAGAACAAAATAGGACTTGCATAGGAGATTAAAAAAAACAAAACTGTATTCTTATTACGTGTTTTGATGGCATTCTCACTGCAGGGCTCCACCAAGTCGTTGACCTACACCAAGCAGAGAAACACGCTGCCGAGGTAAAAGGTCATCTCATTCTTTCATTTACGATGCAGCTCATGAGTTCTTTCCGACAAAGAGAGGAATCTCTGTCTGGGCTTTCTTTTGCTTGTGTCTTGCACTTCAATTTAATGACTGCCCTCTTTTTCTCATAAAAGATCACCTCTCCTTTGTTGTATTAGTTCGATTTAAGCCCATGTTGCGCAAGCTGCCACAAACAACTTTCAGTGACACCCACTCTCACGTTCCATAGGAGCTTCAGTGTGGATCGCGTGATGGAGCGAGTGATGGAGCGCCACTATGACTTTGACCTCACCTACATCACCGAGAGGATCATCTCCGTCTTCTTCCCGCCCAAGCTGGAAGAACAGCGGTACCGCCTCAACCTCAAGGAGGTGGCCGCCATGCTCAAGTCCAAGCATCAAGACAAGTTTCTGGTGAGGCAAATACAGCAGGCAAATGATGACCATTTTATTTAGTTATTTATTTTTTAATTATTTATTTTTTAATGCAGAGTGTGGATGTGACACTGGGCGTGACTTTCGGTACTTGCACAATGCCCGATGAGCTCCAATACAAATGTGTTTCTCCTTTCCGGAATGCGACTGCTTTTTTTTTTTTTTTTGCTCACCTTATTGTAGCTAGATTTGAGCAAAATATTGATTGAAACAGCATCTGACAGTATTTGATAGTGATAAAGGAACCCTTTGATGCACCCTGTAACCTGACAACATGATCAGCTGTCCACTGTAGTAACCGCTGTCCCCGAAAGGGTTACAATGACACAATCAATCAAGAGATTTATTTATTTTTTTTTCTGTTTCAGCTCCTCAACCTCTCCGAAAGGCGCCATGATATGAGCCGATTGAATCAAAAGGTCGCGATACGTGCTGCATTTGTCATTTCATTTTCACCTTTCTTGAACTCACTTCCTATCACGTGATCGTTTTCCTCCGCCAACAACAGGTTCACGACTTTGGCTGGCCCGACCTCCATGCTCCGCCGCTGGACAAAATCTGCGCCATATGCAAGGTCATGGAGACGTGGCTGACCTCTGACCCCCAGCACGTGGTGGTCCTGCACTGCAAGGTCAGAGTTCATGGGCTCACTGGCTTTTTTTTTTCCCAAGACAGATGTTTTAGGTCTTTCCCAGAGTTTTGAAACGCTCAGAAAGTTCAATTAAAAAAAAAAAAAAAGGCGCGAAATATCTTCCGATAATGAAGAGGATCATCCTATATCCTGTCTTACACATAATTATGGTTGATGTATGAAAAGCTGTAGCTAGGAAGTTGGACACGAACTAACATGTTGACGTTAAAACCGTACGTACCACCATGTAAAGATTGCCACATTTGAGTGGAGCAATGGCAACTTTTTCCACTGCTCCACAGAGACGAGCAGACAACAAAGTTAACCAAGCACTAAGCGGCTTGACTGGATGTGAACGTTTTGGGTTTTTTTTTTTTTTTTTGGTCGAAGAGAATTTAAATCGCGAACCCAGACCATGTCTGTGGTGTGCTGACGTTCCAGAGCCACATGTAAGTCTGCCCCGGCTGTAATTCATCCGAAAGACCGACGTAAACAAGATTTCTTCGGGGCGGGGAATGCAGAGCCCTTCACCGAGAAGCGCGCTGTGCCTAACAAGCTTTAATTTGTGAGTGCAGTGGTGCAGCCTCCTTTGGTGCTATCTGGAGGGGTCACATTAGGAATTTGATGCTGGAATGTTCTTGGAATGCTTCGGGATGTTTGGATTCAAAACTCATGGGGAGAGCTTGATCATTGCAGCGCGGTCATTGTGGAATGCGTGTGATTGCGTGTTCAAAGTTCTCCAATCTATTTCACCCCAAATTGAACAAAACTGAACAAATAGGTGATTGAATGTGGAATAAATATTTTTAAATATTTTTGTTGTATATTCTTCCTGCAGGGTAACAAAGGCAAGACAGGAGTGATCATTGCAGCTTACATGCACTACAGCAAGATCTCAGCAGGGTGAGTGTTTTAGACACCAAGCATCAGCTTTGCTTTGTTAATTGATCAAGCCTAATTAAAGAAAAAAGAAACTTGTTGGGAGCGTCTGAGCCTTATAGTTCAACTGAAAAAAAAAGTTTGTTGGATTTTCATTTAAAAAAAAAAAAATGGATATTGGCCGCACCCATTAACCCTTTCAGGGACAGCGGTTACTACAGTGGACATCTTATCATGTTATCAGGTTACAAGGTGCATGAAAGGGTTAAAATCATGTTTGTCCAACATAAATCCATCCATCCAACTATTTTCCGATCCGCTTTATCCTCGCGAGGGGTGCTGGAGTCTATCCCAGCAGTCTTCGGGCAGTAGGCGGGGGACACCCTGAACCGGTTACCAGCCAATCGCAGGGCACACTGAGACGAACAACCATCCACGCTCTCACTCATACCTCGGGACAAATTAGAGTGTTCAATCAGCCTGCCATGCATGTTTTTGGAATGTGAGAGGAAACCGGAGTACCCGGAGAAGACCCACGCAGGCCCAGGAAAAACATGCAAACTCCACACAGGGAGGCCGGAGCTGGAATTGAACCCGGTACCTCTGCACTGTGAGGTCAACGTGCTAACCACTGGACCACCCGGCCCGCCCATTCAACATAAATATTGCACAAAATAAAATCCGATTAATGTTCGTGAAACTCATACATACATACAGACATACATACATACATACATACATACTTGTCATACAAGTGTAAAAATAAGAGACATAAGAGCGATAAAACTCCCAAGCCTCAACTTGAACGAGGAATTACAAAGTTGCAATTCGTAGGTCATTTGCCTCACGCATGTAATTCTTTCCTCAAAGGCCGGAAAAATCTCATTTCCATTCTGACCTTCCTGGGAAATTTGATGAATTAAGCCCTTTGGATTTAGTACAGGAACACTGGAATCCTGTGGCCCGTGCCAGCTGTATCCTCATTTCATTTCTGGCATGAAGAGGGTCTGGTGTGAGACCCATCATGGAAATTTTCTACTGAAAGCGCGTGTGCGTGCGCCTGTGCGCTAACATTTTTTTGTGCAGGGCGGATCAGGCTCTCAGTACTCTTGCCATGAGGAAGTTCTGCGAAGACAAGGTGTCCACTTCCCTCCAGCCATCCCAAAACAGGTAGGCTGCAAGAGGGGATGAAGGTTGTTGAGGTTTGATTCAGCCTCTCTCTGTCTCGATTCTATTCTATTCCGTTCTTTTGTATTCTATTTGCTCCAGGGCTTGCTTTGTATGGTGACAAATAATTATTGATAAATTGTCGCAATTCTCCACCTGCCTGTATGAGCTCTTGCATTCATGCAAATATGTTTTCAATCTCTCTCAGGTATATCTATTACTTTGGGGGTCTTCTGTCTGGAGCCATCAAGATGAACAGCAGCCCACTTTTCCTCCACCAAGTTCTCATCCCGTCACTCCCCAACTTCCAAGGGGAAGGAGGTTTGTGTTCACTCGCCTCCGTTCATTTCATTGATATCACCGTGACAACTATGACAAAAGAGATCGTGAGCCAGGGGGCTGTTTCAGGCTGAACAGCGAGGACCTTTAATTTCACATAGAAGGCTCGATGTATCCGGCGGGCATGTCACAGAAACGTCTTGTAGAAAGTCTCGCTTTAGGTATCCATCACGGTCATGTGATGATGTGAGTTTGAGCCACCAAATGCACAATGGTAACACACGGTGTGTGCGGGACCCGATGCCTCAACAGGTCGTCCCTGCTGAATCCCGGCAATGTTAACCACTTCCATTGTTATAGTTGGTCCCATTCAGCAGATCACCCGCAGGAACACAAGCGCGTTTATCATTAATCGAATGATGGTCTCCGTCGGGATGGAAGGATAGCAGTCAGCGCATTCTTCTGACTACGGGATGATCATAAGGGCTCCATCTGTCTGATTGTCTCTGCAGGTTACTACCCTTTCCTGAAGATCTACCAGTCGATGCAGTTGGTCTACACTTCAGGCATATAGTAAGTCTCTTGGCAAAAAAAAAAAAAAAAAAATCTGAATGAATATAGTTCTGTCATATTATAATAGGTAGTGCTAGTCTTTATTGTCCCTTAAGTGTATCGCTGCTGACTCTCGTTGTCCTTTTGTTGCTGTTTGGGGCCCCGTGAATTCAATCAACGCACAAGTGGCCCAGCATTGGTTTTCAATGTCACTGCTTTCATGTTCCAGCAGGATCAAAATGAGTCTAAAACCAATTCAACTCATTATTTAGTTTTCTTCATTTTTGTGGAAGTGCCCCAGATTCAGTCGATGGTGTTCTTTGATATCGTTTCTCCTTCTTCTAATATTGGCCAGCAGCATTTATTTACTTCACAGTACTACGGATGTCCTGATCACACTTTGTTGTCACCCAATTCCGAGTCTTTGGATTTAAGAATCTGCCCATACTGAGTCCCGATCCGATACCTCGACAATACTTTAAAATGAAAAGTCTACCTTGTATCTTTCGTCATGTGTTGTGCTCTCTATTTGACCCACAGTGACCTTCACGGAAGCGGGGGAAGGCGACTGTGCGTGACCATCGAACCAGCACTACTGCTTAAAGGTGACATCATGGTGAGTTCACTCTGAAAGGAAATGACAGAGAGGTCCAGATCAGGTTGATATCGTGACATTATCTGAAACAAACATTTACCAAATAGGGCAATCTGTGGATTCCTGCCATTGCGAGTGAATAAAAAGTAGTCGTAATCTAAACAGACGAACACCAGACCTAATTACTGTCGGTCTTCCTTGAGTCATACAATGCTGTACGGCCACCTAAAAAGTGTTTTTTGGGCAATCATGAGGAAACATTCAACTACCCGAATGCTATTTCCACATTATATAGAAAAGATATACCGGTAGTGACGAAAAATTCAATCAAATTAGCCTTTCTCGTTCTAGCCAAAATAAATTCTGTTAAAAAAAAAATCCTAATGGAATTAAATTGAAGTCGCCGATTTTGCAGTGGTACACTGCAGGCAGTGTGGAAACGGTGTCTACTCGGTGGGATGTCTGAATGTGGGTGTGAATGGTTGTTTGTCTCTACATGTGCGCTATGACTGAGTGGCGAGCAGTTGAGGGTGTAGACTGCCATCCGCCTGAAGTGAGCCGGGATTAGGCTCCAGCAACTCCCCGCGACCCTCTTCAGGATAAGCGGTCTTGAAAATGGATGGAATAAAATAGAGGGACGCACTACCATAATGCTCTATAATTGCAGTCCCCATTTAGCAAGAAAGTAATTCCTCCTCATCACTTGTCATCTTGTCGTTAGAAAAATATGTTTGGGTTTTTTTAATTAAATTTATATAATATATACATATTTTTTTTTCATCCATTTTCTGATCTGGTCGCGAGCGTGCTGGAGCCTAACGCAGGTGTCATCGAGCAGTAGGCGGGGTACAACCTGAACTGGATGCCAGCCAATCAAGGGACACACAGACAAACAACCGTCCACACTCACACTCATACCTCGGGACAATTTAGAGTGTTAAATCAGCCTGCCATGCATGTTTTTGGAATGTGGGAGGAAAGTGGAGTACCCGGAGAAAACCCACGCAGGCACGGGGAGAACATGCAAACCCCACACAGGCAGGCCGGAGCCGGAATCGAACCCTGCACCTCTGCACTGTGAGGCCTACGATATAATTCATAATTCTCAGTATAAATTCCCGAACCACCTCACTGTCTGTTCTTGACAACCCGTCACAAATCCTTATGAAGTATGCTGCAACAACAAAATAAATAAAATTGAAAAGTAACAAAAGTAAAAAGCACACCTGAGTTTTGTTGTGATTTAATCAGTTATCGAGAAGATTTATCCTCCAGGCTTGTTTTGACAACCATGTATGTATGGTACTGTACTTTTATGGTGCCTACTTTTTATGCGTCGGCCTCATTCTCTGCTGCCCCCTGCAGGTCAAATGTTACCACAGACGAGCCCAAAGTGCTGACAGGGACAACGTGTTCAGGCTCCAGTTCCACACTTGCACTATCCATGGATCCCAACTGTGGTTTGGCAAAGGGGAACTGGACGAAGCTTGCACAGGTACCTTTACAGTGTATTAGAGGTGAAAACTATTCGGTAATGACAGCCGTGTTCATTTGCTTTTTCTTAATAGTTTTCCCTGACTTCTCAATGACTTTTCCAAAACATTTAGCTTGATTTTGAAAATTATTGAGATGCACAATACATCTTTATATCGTGCGTTCACAACAGCCGCAGCTGGGCCAAAGCGCTTCACAGAGCATTTCACATGTAACAATAATACAACGGAACATATAACATAAAACAATCACACAATGTTACAATAATACATATGTAACAACGCTTTGTTTGTTTGAAGTGGTTAGAGATAAAGGAGGGGAGAATCAAAATCAAATTAAATCAAACGTGAGCATTCCGATTGCATCATTTCCTGCTTGGAATACAGATTGTGTGAAACTGAGAAATTGCTTGTGTGTGGTAGACCCCAAGTTATAGTTTATGAAGCGTCAAAGATGTACTTAAGTACACCGTTGTGGTTTTATGTAACTGAGAGCACATCTGGGGAATATATTAGTCCGTACTAGAGGAAAGAATTGAATTACAGCCGACGGGTCAACATTGCGTGTGTCGTGAAGTGATTCAATCTACTGTGACTTGCTGATGTCATGTCGATGATCTGAGTAGTTAATCTTCATGGTCGTTGTGGGTCTATCCTAAAAGTTTTATATGTATTTCCTCCCCCCCCCACCCCCCTTCCTCAGATGAACGTTTTCCATTGGATGCCACGGTGGAGTTTGTCTTTTCAACTGGACCTGAGAAGATCAAAGGTCGGGGGCACTCATTCATCTTCAATTCATTGCTGACTCAAAATCACTTTTCCATCACTACGTATTGCAGATGGCAAAACTGTACTTAAAACGAACGTTGAAACACAAGTCTCGCATCTCTCCACAGGTCGTGAGTACCACAAAAATGACCCGGCCGTCACGGTTGATTACAACACTGCTGACCCTGTAGTTCGCTGGGATTCCTACGAAAACTTCAACCAACGATACCAGGACAGTCTTGAGGGTAAAAGATCAGCGTATTTTAACGCCCTTTTTAAAGGGCAAGTCCTGCCGAATGCTGAGTGCCTATAATGGTGCAAGATATTCAAGATCAGAATTACTGTATTTTCATCGGATGTTAAGATGGGCATATTAACACGTTATTTTTGTCACAGACATTGCTCACACAAGAGGTCCTGTTGATGGCAGCCTCTATGCGCAAATAAAGAAGCGCCGGGACCCAAGTTCTGGTTCTGTTTCTTCAACCAATGGCAGCAGTCACGGGGCAGAGGAGAGACCCGATCAATTCCTCTCTCATCACTCTGACTCGGCCCTTTCGGCACATTCGAGCCCCTTTAACCAATCATCCATCCATCCTGACCACCGCGAAGAGACATTACGTCCACCGACTC